AATTTTTGATGGGTAAGTTGCTAACTCGGAAATCAGAAAAGCTAGAAAGCTGAAATTTTAAGGTGACGTTTTCTAACAGCCATGGTGGCCAGTCTCATTTCTTTTGGCTGGAAGCATATGCCTGAAAAGCAGTACCGTTAGCGACAAGAACCTATGGGGAACTGTGCAAAAAACGCATCTTCACACGGCTGTCAGTGCGCTGGCCGACATTTTTATTTTTCGCTTCTGAAATGCAATAGCTCTGAATGCGTGTCGTTCTGGATGTCCCCATGACTTACAGTTGTCAGAAGTATCCCGTCTGCTTCATGCTTTACTGTTCATCATCCCTCGCTGCTGTCAACAGTATTTTTCTTCTAGTAATTACAAGTGTCTATGCGCCGCGAGTAATTTGGTTTTTCAATGTTGAGGATGGCTCTTACCTTGCGGAGCTGCTTCTTTCGAAGGGTTACGAGGTGCACGGGATAATTCGTCGCTCGTCCTCCTTCAACACGGCGCGTATCGAACACCTCTACTCAAATCCGGTCTCTCACCGCGGCGACTCCAGTTTCACCCTTCACTATGGGGACATGACAGACTCCTCGTGCCTCATCAAATTGGTCAGTGAGATCCAGCCAACAGAAGTGTACCACCTGGCTGCTCAAAGCCATGTTAAGGTTTGCTTTTTTTTTGCAAAAATGATATAATACTGTGTCCTGTCAAGCATCCCGTAAAGTGCAAGCATCCCAGATTCAACGTCCCTCTGTGAAAATAGTTTTTGCATTTCTTTCTATTTTCCAGGAATTTAGCAATACAGATTTTCGCTTTATTTGCGCCCTAATTTGGACCATCCTGTTGATTTTGCCGATTTTAGGCATACTTTTGCACCTTTCAATTCAGATTTTTTGTCCAAAATTCGTCCCCTCGCTACACTTTTCGCCTCAGTAAGATTGGGCCTCATTTGCGGGTAAAGAGGGGCCACTGCGTCTGGACAGGCCACTGTTGAAGTGCTAAGTCGGTCTCCGTTTCATACTGATTCTGGTGTCTCTTATTTGTGAAATATGTTGAAATTGATGAGAAACAGCAGCGGCAGCGACAGTTGCAGGTGTCTTTCGACTTGCCCGAATATACAGCTGAAGTAGATGCAGTTGGAACGTTG